CCGGCCCCTCAAAGGGCAGGTCCTGAATGGTGGTCTGCACCTCGGGTGGGATGCCAGACACCTGCAGCCAGGCACTACGCCTCATAACAACCCCTGTGGCCATAGTACGGGCTGCCGAATCAGCTGCATCCAAGGCCGCCTGGAGAGAGGTACCAGCCACTGCTTCTCCCTCTTCCGTCAGGGCCCTGAATTCCTGGCGGGATTCGGGAGGAAGCTGGCTGGCAAATTTCTTCATAGACGCCCATATGTTAAAAGCATAACGCCCCAGCATCAGTTGCTGGTTAGCTATACGCAGCTGGAGGCCCCCAGTGGCGTAGGCCTTCCGGCCAAATAGGTCCAATCTTCTAGGCTCCTTTGCCTTCGGAGTAGGACCTGGAGGCCCTTGGCGCTCCTTCTGCCCAGCGGCCTGAACCACTATGGATCCCGGAGCCGGGTGGGTAAAAAGATGCTCATGCCCCTCCTGGGGGACATAGTACCTTCTCTCGACCCCCTTCTGGGTCGGTGCAATAGAAGCCGGCGTCTGCCACAGAGATTTAGACAGCTTGTCCACCGTTTTATTCAGTGGGAGCGCCACTCGACCAGGGCCCGCTGCCGCTATGATGTCCACCATAGGATCTAGGTCCTCGTGAACCTCCTCGTGCTGGACCGCAAGATTGACCGCCAGCCTTCAGAGCAGCTCCTGGTGCGCCCTGGAGTCCATCGACGGGGGCTGGGGCGCGGGGTCGGCCAGGGCCTCGTCTGGTGAAGACGACGAGAACTCCCTTGAGGGAATTGCCTCTTCCTCAGCTATCTGTGCCCCTGGTTCCCCCTGGGCAGAGATGTCCACATAGGTTGGGCCCGGCTGGGACATAGCCCCCTACCCCTGACCAATAACCGGGGGTCTTGGCATCGCCACCATTGACGAGCTGTCTCCAGGCGCGGGGGGCTGTCAAGGGGGTGGCAGACGGGGTGCTACTCCTTCGGGACGACCCCACTGCCAGCCCCGTAGGGGGAGGCCCCTGGGCCTGGTGGTATGCCCATGGCGTCCAGAAAGGCCACTGGGGTTGCCCCTGCCACTGCAACTGGGATTATTACTGATGGGGCACCTGCCATGGTTGGTGAACGAAGTGGATTATCAACCCTAATCTGTAACAAGGTGATCGAAGAAGGAGGCAAAGCTATTAAACTCCATTGTATCATTCATCAACAAGTTCTCTGTGCTAAACATCTCAAATATGATCATGTTATGAAACCGGTGCTAAAGACTATTAATTTTATTCGCTCTAAAGCCCTGTGCCACCGCCAGTTTAAACAGTTTCTACTGGACATCCAGGCTGAATACGAAGATGTTTTATATCACAACGATGTAAGATGGCTCAGTCGGGGGTCTGCACTGCAGCGTTTCTACTCTCTCAGAAAGGAAATCGGAGAATTCTTGGAAACAAAGGGACAACCAATGCGAGAACTATCTGATCCTATTTGGCTGGCTGATTTGGGGTTTCTAGTTGACATAACAAAGCATCTGAATGTACTGAACACGAGTCTTCAGGGGAAAGATGCAGCGGTGAACCAGCTTTATTCACACCTCAAAGCCTTTGGGACAAAGCTGCAACTTTTCATAAGGCAGTTGTCACAAACACAGCCCAATACCATACATTTTTCAGCGTTGCAGGAAATAATGAACAGTTTTCCACAGGACAATATCAGTGCGCAAACGAGCAGGTATGCAGCAGACATTGCATCTCTGGCTGGGGAGTTTAAACGGCGCTTTCAGGACTTTGCAGCTATTGAAAAGGAGATCAGCCTTTTCTCCTCTCCATTCTCTGTTGACCCCGATGATGCTCCAGATCAGCTGCAGCTCGAGCTCATTGAGCTGCATTGTGACAGCGAGTTACGCAGTCGTCACCAACAGCTCTCTCTTGTGAACTTTTACCGCCAACTGGATAAGAGCCGGTTTCAAGAGATTCGAACATTGGCTAAGAAAATGCTGAGCTTGTTTGGCTCAACATATATGTGTGAGAAGACATTCTCTGCTATGAACTTTAACAAGAACCGCGTGAGGACAAGACTAAGTGACTCTCACCTGCGTGACATTTTGCGCATCAAAACCATTGCCTTTGAACCAGACCTAGCCTATGTGCTGCAGTCCAGATCTCAGTTTCACCCTTCACATTAGTGTAGGCAAGTTTTTTTTTTCAATTGAGATGAATACATTGTAAAATCTCAGTTAATGTCAGTTGGTCTAAATCAGTTATAAATATATTTGGACACAACGGCTACGTCTACACTGGCCCCTTTTCCGGAAGGGGCATGTAAATTTCACCTTTCGTAGTAGGGAAATACAGGGTTCTACTTCAAAGTAGGAATAAGAGCCTCCGGAAAAGGGCGCTTTTTCCGGAGGATCGGGGCCAGTGTAGACGCTCTTTTCCGGCTTTTTTAAAAGCCGGAAAAAAGCGGCGGACATTTTTATTTAAATGCCGCAGGGGATATTTAAATCCCCCGCGGATTTCCCTTCTATGATAGGTGAAATTAACATGCCCCTTCCGGAAAAGGGGCCAGTGTAGACGAGCCCAATATGTATCTGAAATTGGGAGAAGTATTTTGGGACATGAGCCTTGGTAGGGAGAAACAAGCCTTCTCAAATTTAAAATTACTCCAGCTGGAAGACTATGCTTTATCTCCCCCTGCATTTGAGACACCATAGTCAATAAACAAGAGTGCCAGTCATATCCAAACTCCCTGCTGCTTTTTAACAGACTGATTTTAGTATTGCCTTGTGAAGAATGTGTTTCTGGGGTCAGTCCCTTGACCAAGACAAAAATATAAATTGATTAGCCACATTATAAAGTCAACAGTTTCCAGTTATTGAAACATCACTTCCCTGTGAAGTATCTTGTTTGAACAGCTGCATCTAAGAACAGCCATACTGGCTCAGGCCAAAAGCCCATCTAGCCCAGTATCTTACCTTCTGACAGTGGCCAATGCCAGCTGTCCCAGAGGGAGTAAACAGAACAGGTAATTGTCAAGTGATCCCTCTGTCATCCATTTCCAGCCTCTGACAAAGAGGCACCATTCCTAGCACTGATGGACCTAACCTCCATTGAGTTTCTTTCTTTTTGAACCCTGTTAAAGTCCTGGTCTTCACACTGGAATTCCACAAGTTGACTATGGGCTATGTGAAGAAATATTTCTAGTTTGTGTTAAACCTGCTACTGATCTACTGGGGGTAGTGTAGACATTGCTATGACAGGTAAGAAGAGTATCCCTCCTCCCCTCCCCCCCGGACACAGCTACACTGAGGCAACTTTGAGACACTGATTTGGTCTTCAGTTAGGAAAGTTGAAGCCCTTTCCTTCGCTGAGGCTAACTGGCATTGAAAGAGTAAGATTTTTCCTTCGACTTCTAACAAAATTAAGGAATTTTGATCTTTCCTCTTCTCCCCCCACCCCCGCATACTTCTAAACACTATTTTGCCTAACTACAGCCCATGCTAGTTACACCAGTTTCTACTTATCTGACCTTTTGCATAGGACAACTGCCTAACAGAACAATTGACAAGGCCATGTGCTCAAACCCCCAAAAGCAGCCAGGACTCTTCTAAATCTCATTGTTAAGTAACTTTGGACTTGCACTTTTAAATAAAGGTTAAATATCCATTAACTGACACGTTGAATAACCTGATGTATTCTTAGTT